GTAAATTGGCTCCAGTGACGGCGGAAAACGATTGCGCACGCGGGAAAAGGCGGCAGCTTGCGCGCTAGATTTGACGCACCGCGTCCGGTGCGCCTATAAAATTGCAGCGCCCTCTGCCGCTCTTTCTTGCTCCCTCTACTGCTTTATCTCCTCGCCGCCGACACAACACCACCGCGACACCATGCCGCCTCGCCGCCGGGGAGGTTCGGGCTACCACGGCGTCCGCGTGCGTCCGTCCGGCACCTACTCCGCCTTGATTCCGTCGGGCGGCGGCGTGCGCCCGGCCTCGGAACCTTCGACACCGCCCAGGATGGCGCGAGCGTACGACGCTGCTGCGTGGCGCCTTCGGCGGTCCCCTTGGGACATGATCTTCACCGACGTGGCGATGCGTGAGCGGGCACAGGAGTTGGCGCCTTTCCCGCGGCTTATCACTGACGAGGATCATCGCAAAAACCGGAGGCGGGAACGCCGTCTCAGCCTGGCCGAGATGGACGAGGAAGCCATGGCGCTGTGGAGGCAACGCTTCCCGCAAGACATCATCAATGAGGAACAGTTCTTTTTCGAGAGGAGGGCGGCGAGGGAGGAGAGGAGGAAGGATTGAGCCGCCTATCGCGAGAACAAGCGAACACGGAAGACGGTCGCTAAATACAACATCGCGCTAGGAGATGCGTCGTCCTAGGACTCCCGCGACGAGCGGTTCCTTGACGCCTATGCTCAGACGATGAAGGAGGACATCACCGAGGCAGAGTCCGAGTCGGAGAATGACGAGTAGTAGTAGTCTTTCGTTTTATTTTGTATCGTAGAAGCAGGCTATGTGCCGAACTATCTTCATATTTCTATGCTCAGAACCAAATATGTATCGAATCGCAGTTCATTTTAAGAAAAATAAAATAAAATATAGCGCGCCTGCTGAAGCGGCTCGGGCGCGCTTTATTTTACGGCGCATAGCTGCGCGTAAAACCTGGCACACCCGGCGCTGTATTTTGATTTTTAGCGCGCCGCGTGTTGCGCGCCCATTGAAGATGCTCTGACTTCTTAATGGCAACGACGCATCAACAGCCTTCTGGTCGCCCCTCCCTCGCCGCCCGCCGTGGTCTCCCGCCGTCACGGCCGGGCGAAGACGGCCTGCTCGTGCTCGCCAACGACGCACCCGGGCTCCTTCCGCTGCGCGATGCACCGGGGGGCCTCGCCGGCGCCGGCGTCGAGCGAGCTGCACGACGCGAGGCGGTCGACGATGGCCAACTCGCTGGTGCGCACCGCTTCGGTCGAGGGTGGAGGCCACGTCCGGCGCGCGCCGGCCGCCCTTGTCTGCCCCTCCTCGCACCACCAGGCACCAGCGCAGCCGCGCCTCCTTCCGCGCCCTGCCCAGCCGCCTCTCCGCCATGTCCACCGCCGCCGCCGAGCCTTCCCCATCGCCAGCGCTGTGATTCGTCAAACCGTGTAGTACTTCGCGCGCCTCGCCACCACAAATTTGCGTCTAATCATTCGTGTCCGGTAGTTGTATGTCACTGCTCTATTATCTACTGCTGGAAGATTTGTAACAGCGCATCCATCATCCGTGCATTGGCTTACCGGAAGACCTGCATTTCGCCACAATTCATCCATGGCTCGCTTGCTATTTCGTACAGAACATAGCTGGCTCCACGCCATTGACGGAATGAGACCAATCCAAGGACTAATCTTTGTTGGCTTTTCTTTATAGGAGAAACTCCGTGAGCACCACGCGTCCGTGCCCGGACTCGAACTCGGGTGGGCCGGCAGCAACCTCAGCTACCCAGCCAACGGGTCGATGCCCCGTCCTCAACTTTATCAATTATCAAGCTGCTTAAAGAAAATGAATTAAATGATCGACTTTGAGAGGGTGCTGTTTAATGATTGACATTTGTGTTCGACCAATTCACGACAGAATAAGACAGAATAAGCCGTGTGTTGTGTGCGGATGAACAGTACTGGTCCCTATTTTGAACCTTGCTTGACAAACCTGTCTGTGTGTTCAACGCATTTGCCCCCACCCCCACCCCCCCACCCCCACCACACCACACACACACACACAACAAAATTTTAAAAATAGGAAAAACCACATAATGTGAAAAGGGAAAAAAGGTGAAAATGAAAGAAAAAGAAATGCAAAAAGTAAAAGAAAGGAGACAGACAGATAGAAAGAACACCAAGATAAGTGATACGTGGGCTACACAAAGATGCATGAGGGATGCGCATTTCCCGCCTATTCGACATATTAAGTGTGAAATATGAATTGATGTAGCCCACCCCTCAACAAGCCCCAACCGATACGTCATGTCATCACCAAACCCAACAGAATCAAACAAGCTTTGTTACTGGAATGGAATAGAACAATCTTCATAATTTTTATTGAATGGGCATCGTGCCTACAAAATTTTGGTTAAGAATAGTAGAATTCTACATCTAGTTCGAGAAGGTTCTATTGAATGATTATATGTTTCAAATTGATTTTTTTAAAGGAGGTTACATGTTGACAATTTCATTACACACTTGTCTATTTCAAATTGTTTTTTCTCACACGAATAAAAACAACTCATTTTCTGTAAGTAGCTTGCTTCACTATCTCTTTTCTGTTGTTTGAAGAAAGTATTCCCTGCCTCAGAGAAGAGAGATATGTGGCGGCAATAGATTGTAGCTAAAACTCATCATGCCTAGTTTGTACATGTTTTAAATTAACTTAATACGGGCCTACCAATTACCCACAACAGTCATATAACTATGTCTCTGGATACAGTGGTAACGCAAATGCTCTAGAGAAGGGAAATAGAGTTTGGCCACACAACCACCCGGGAAATGAATCTCCAGTGTGAGGTAACCTCAAGTTCATGAAGACTTGAGGATTTGTGCCTAACACAATTTTCCTAACATCTTCCAATCCCACAACATATTCATCAACACTCACAATCTAGGGCACACATTGTCGAAGTTATAGAGAGAGGAATGAGAAATGGTGATACTTGCAAGTGTTTTTAGTGGCATTTGTAAGATGAAATGTGTGGTTGGAGAAATAACATTTATAGTACCTGGGTAGTAGTAGTGGGCTGGTGCCACATGCTAGAGCATTGATCTACGAATCAACAACAACGGCGGAGCCAGCGGAGACCAGGAGGGGCCATGGCTCCCCCAAAATTTAGAGATTTTTGAAGACCCTAGATTACTTCTGCAAACAGCTATATGGCATCTTCTATAATCCTCTCCCGAAAACATTTTGGTGGGCCTTATACATCGCCCGCAACTGAAAGTTTTGTCATGCAAATAAAAAATTCTTCAAGAACATCTTCAAGGCAGACCCCAAAAATGGATATGGTATTTGTCCGCGGACTCCGTCCAACCACGGACACAATACAGGAGTCAGACGGAGCTCGAGGACAAAGCACATGGGTCGTGAGGACATGTGGTTCAGCTCATAGTGGGCCAAGCGGATTCTCACATGGTGTTTCGACTCACACAAAACGGACATGCGGACTAGTCCACGGACGTTAATCGGACCGTGTTGGATGACGAAAAGTGTCCAAACCGCTTGGTCCGGACCTTTTACTGGCACTTTGAGGGGCCATTTTGGAGATGCCCTAAAGTACATAACTTTTGACATTTTTTCGAGAAACATGAACAAACTTAATAAATTCTAGACATCTTTTGAAACATCCGATTTTTATAAATTTATACGTTTTTGCAAAAAAAAACGGAAAGAACAAAAAAAGAATAATGGGAAAGAAACATGAAAAAACTAATGGAAAAACGATAACATAAACAGAAAAAAAACAGCTTCAGAGAACATTCTAGAAGGTTCCCAATTCCGTTAAAACCGAACAGGAACCTGTTAGTAGGCTCCCAAAACCGAACGCACAGATTAGGCAAATGGGCTGTCATATGTGGCCTTGACATCCGCATGACCCAATATGTAGCCCACAAACTGTGGTATGCGATGAATAAAGTTTTGGTTTACCTTACAAGAAACACTCAAGGTTGAGGATGAAAAGGACCCAAGAACTTTTACGCGATTTTGGTGTTTGTTTGGGGTGCTCTCTGTGATATGGTGGAACAGTTGTACTAGTTATACTTTTTTTGTATGGTAATATGTCTTTTATTCATATCATAAAGATTAATGTACAAGTCACATAAAGACCGACATGACAAAACTAAAAAGACAATAGAATGTCTCCAGCTTGACACTTGCCTCCGGCACCACCCAGCACCCACCAAAAGGAAAAATGACGGATCACCTTCTCACCCGAACTCAACGCGGCTCCATCGCTGATATGCAACTTTGCGGATCTTCAAGGTGCCTCGCCAAAGGCGAAGCCGTTACCGTTGAACGAATCCGACCGAGGCGATACCCCAAACACGCCGTCGAACTCCAGATCTGGCACACCCACATGAATAAGACGTCGGAGGAGGAAACCGTATCTGCCATCCACGAACCACAAGCCCAGCACACGTTCCGTCTTTCAGATGTACTGGTTGTACGTGTGACATATGTTTGCGTGTTTTTACTCGTATTTGTACGGTTCTTGCTTGTAGTTGAATGAAATACGAGTGCTTTTTCAAAAAGGAAATTAGCGTCATATAGGGATTTTCTTGAGTTATAGCTAAATTAGCGTCATGCCACGGCCGCGGCCCGCGTGGGACCAGCAGCAGCAGAAGGAAAAGAAGATAAACACGCGCCAAACGGTTGCAACATCCACCACGCCACCGCGGCACCGCGTGCGTCATGAGCTCCCTCGCTCCTTCCCCCTCGCTGCCGCGTCCATCAATATTCTGGTCTCCTCCAGCGCAGGAAACCGCCATGCCTAAAGCTTCCTCCATGCCACTAAGCCGTATATAAACCGGGTGGCGTGGCCTTTCTCCCTTCACCAACCCCAGCAAGAAACGACCCAAGCAAAGCCACCAATTGATTGAAGCAAAGTCACAGAGCCTGCGTGCAAGAAAGCCTCGGCCACCGGAGCTGCTGCAGGAATTATCCCCGTCTCCTATCGAGTATGGACAAGGTGCTGGCCTTCTCCATCCTGAGCGCGTCGCCGGCAGACATCGCCCCCGGCGCCGGCGGAAGCTGGGCTCGGCTGTCTTGGTGGGGGAGGAAGCTGCAGGAGGACGACCGGACTGGATCAGAGCACCAAGGGAAGCAGGGCGGTCTGCCGCGGGAGGCAGAGCAGCGGCCGGACAAAGGGAAATCGCAGTCACCGTCGACGTTGCCGCCACGGTTTGCGCCGGAGTTTGATGGGATCGACTGCTTCGAGACCATCGTGTGCCATTGATCGCTGATGAATCGTGATCTGCTCGTGGTCCAGCCGGGCGTGTGACTACTAATTCTTTCTCCGTTTGACGGCCGTACGATCGGCGTGTTCATTCGTTGTTAACTTGTGTGCTTCTAACTGAAGCCGGATGTTGTACAGAATACAGAGTTACCTGTAAACCAAGTTCTTCATATGGTACAAAGAAATCTAGGATAAGCTTTGATTTTTTTAGGCTTGACGCCATGACGGAGTAGAGACATTTAGTCAGACTAATCTAGAATTGGAACTGCAATTCGCTAGATGTCCAAACTACTCTAACACTAAAATTCCTTTGGTAGTTAGGGAATTAGAAGTCCAAACCCACTGGCTTAATTAAGATTTTATTAGATGGCCTGACTCCTTAGTTTGTTCTTTTTTTTCTTTGCGAGAACTTAGTTTGATCTTTTGGTCAGATGACCTGACTCCTTAGATTCCTGCACCTTCACAGAATCGACGCACTCTGTGAACCTCAGGCTCAAAGCCTGTCGAGATGATGCTCTGCTCTGGCGAGGGAGGTTCAGAAACGATCAACATGTGCACGGTGATGTTTGGTTGCGCGCTGGCTCAACAGTCAGCCAGCCGTTGTGAGACCACGTGGCGTAACGGTCCTGCCACAGGACGGGGCGGTAGGCTAGCTAAGGCTACCGCCATATGACTCAGTGGTAGGGTCGTAGGCTGTGCCTCGACGGCCATCGGTATTGTGACGAAGAAGGCGTGTCCGCTGGCGGTAGGGTACCACAACCTACCGCCATAGGCCTTGGTGGTCGGGTCTCGCACACATGCCTTAGGTACTGTGACGAAGAAGGTGTGACCCTTTGGCGGTAGGGTACCACAACCTACCGCCAAAGGTCCTGGCGGTAGGCTGTCTGCACCTACCTCCGTGCCGTCCGGCGGTAGGGTATGTGTCACTTAATTTCTAAACAGGTTCTTGGTCTTATCAATCACAAAAAAAAACATCACCAAAAATATGATTTGTAATTAAAAATAGGATGATCGCACTCATTGTAGATAGCAAATTAGCATTTCAAATAGTTTGAACATAGTTTGATAGTAGCAATTCGACATCACCAACAAAGCTTGAAAGTACCAAATAGACACCACTAGCATAGCATACAAGTTCTTCCTCACAACTAGTTGCACTAAACGACATCACCAACACGAGTGGTCACTTGCTCCTGCTCCTCTTAGCGGTATGGTCCTCGTTTCTTTTCAGCGGGTTTCGTCTGGCTTCTTCATGCGACGACGAGGAACCGGTTTCTAAAACGGGGATGGGCTCAAAACATCCTGGTGCGAATGAGATACCCTCTTCCCCTAGCTTGGTTGTGTCAGTGGTGGCCCGTCATCATCGTCGTACTCCTCCTCTGCGTCCTCCTCCTCCTCCTCCTCCTCTTCGTCCTCTGTTTCTTCTTCCTCTTGCTGTTCAACAACCCGGGATGACGAGGCGACATGGTTAGAGGAAGCTCCACCGGCGTGGCTCGATGAAGCAATGGCACGCATGGACCCTCCATGAGCAGGATCATGGACGTTGGCCGCGCGAGCGCACCCAAGCATACCCACTATCTTACGACAACGGCAATAGTAAACAACCAAAAACATAATAAGGATCAACTCAAGCTTCTGCAATAGTATAACATCGCTAAGGAGCTCGATGTTACCTTCATTGTATCCCTCATCTTGGTGTTGGATTCCACGGTTCCGGCTTCATACAAAGCGCGTTTGAGCCATCAATAATGCTTCTGTTGAGTTGTGAAGCCTGCACATGTAACCAATATGTTAAAGGCTCAGAACCTCTCATGGCTCCAAACAAATGAGAACACCACTTACCACTCTGTTCATCAGGGGTGCATACTCCCTAAAATCACCTTCGAGATCTCTGAGCTGGCCACGTAAGCTTCGTCCTCGCTGTCATCCTCCTCCAATTCGGCGATATCGTCTTCCGTCCACTGCGGCCTCAGGTGTACACGATACTTGACACCATCGTCATACCACTTTAGGCGGCGTTAATGACAGGTGTCCCAGTTAACCACTCTCCTCTCGCCGTCTTTGCGGTACCTCCTCTCGTCCCACGCTTTCACGTGCTCTTGGTGCTCGTGCCCCCAGTCTGTGATGGACTGACAATTTTTTCTACTCTTCCTGCAAGGCATAGGAAGCAGCGGACGTCATGACAATGTCAAACACAAACGAAAACACAACAAGTAGAGAACAATGTCCTCACCAGTGAAGGTCGGAGCCGCCGGTGTTGGTGGGTTTACCGGGTGGGGTGTGTTGCAAGATCCCAAACTGTGTGGCCACACGCTGTGGTAAGTGCCACTCGACGTCATACACACATATCAAGGGCACAATGCACCGCCAGGCAAGCCGACCCTCCTCACACATCGAGTTGAGCTCGAACCCCTATTCTCGGTCGTGGTACAGAAACCAGTTCACCTACAGAAGGATGTTAAGAAGAATGAAAGTTGCTACGGAACGATTGATAAGCTACTTGGTATACCTGGAAATCTGTTAGGTTGTCCAGCTCGTTGGTGAAGAGCTTATATAGCGTAGTGGCCTTGCCCGTGTAGACCTTCACCTTGTCCCAGAAGTACGCGACGGTCGGGTACCGAGCATTGTCTCCTTCTTCGCCATAATCCGTCCATGCACGCGAGCGAACTTTCTCTGGACGGCCGACCAGCAACCGCTCCCACATCCAAATTGAAAAGGCCCAAACAAATCCACACACGCCAGAGGTCTCTTCGGTCCTCTGCGTCGCGTCATCCAGCTGCAAACATGAAGTGATGATGATCATATAGCACAACCTCAAACATCATACATTGGTCAAAAAACGAGTATTGAGATATTTATCTTACCGAGCGGTATTGGTAAGCTAGGCCGGCGGACCCCCAGCTGTACCCGCATCCCAGTCCTCCAGGAAGCCGAGATACATCCATAGGGTGCAATCCCCCAAGCAGTCTGGAAAGACGACCTCTGTCAGAAGCTACCACAAATAGGCCCTCGCGTACTGCTCCACGGTCCGCTCATCGGCATCTTGCGGGCATACACCGGTTCTCCAGGAGCCACTTGAGCCGCACACCGGATGTTCTATTCCCCTTCACGGGAGGGCAGTCGCCGATCAGGGCAATCACCCTTTGCTACCAGTTGGCCCTCTCCACTCGCCCAGTCAGAGCATGGCCCTCGATGGGCAGGGCCATGATCATGCCGAAGTACTCGAGAGTCGTTGTCATCTCACCACAGGTGAGATGGAAACTGTGCGTCTCGAGGCGCCACCGGTCGATCAATGTCGTAAGGGCCGAGTGGACGAGCGTCGGCGGCTATCTTTTGAACTGAAGAATGAAACCCAACATCCGTGCTCTCCTGAAGTACGGAGTGTAGCGCTCGTCGTACTGCATCTGCACGGCCTTCGTGTGACCCCTCATCCGCAATGGGGGGAGCGTCTGTCAAAATGTAAACAGAATTGTTAGTAACTAATTTTGTCATAATAAACAATACATCAAATTGACGATAGACATTACCACTCCGTTCTCCATAAAACGGGCGTGGTGACCATTGTCGAAAGCATGATCAAGCATGGTGTACTTCACGCTGATTTCTGGCGCAAGGGGGCCCGCCTATAACAATTAAACAATTAGAAATGATGTCATCTTCGACCAACTTGTATCATTTTGAACAAACATGAACATATCAAGTCCAAATATAAACGAATCATATTCAACCAACATTCATCATTTATCATATATTCAACCAATATAAATGCTCAATGTAAATGAATCATATTCAACCAACATCATTCATTCAACAACATTCCACCATCACTCATGCACTTGTTTATTCAATATTTATAAGAAAATTGCATATACATTATTCACCAAAATCCATCATATGACCATTTGTTTAAAAAAATGCATATACACAATTTAATCGTATGTAAGCAACTACTTACAATCCCTCCAACATCAATCACATCACCACTTGTTCAAAAATAATGTTAATCTCCAACTACCTTCGTGATGAACTAGGGTTTATATCAAAACTACACATAATCTCCATAACTAGTTGTTAGAGTTCATATTCAACCATATACATCATATAGAATCAACCTAAGCAATCCTAGGATAAAAACAAAGTAAGAAAATAGGTTTATTTGCACCAAATAATGCATCGAATCGAAAGCGTTTCGAGTAGAACTAATTGGAGGGATTGAGAGAGCTTACTTTTCCCATTCCGGAGCCATCTCGATCTGCATAAATGGTGGCCAAACGAATAAGATCGAAGGGGGGGGGGAGTGGAGGGGATGAGAGGGAGCTTGTGCTCTCTGTTCTTGCGGCGCCGCATGGTTGGGGAGAAGAAGATGGGGGCTGGTTTGTGGGTGGGCCCCACGAGCCGGCCCCGCGGGCTTATAAGGTTTCAGCTCCTACCGCTAGAGTCTACAGCGGTAGGGTTACATAGGCTACCGCCGTGAGCTCTGGCGGTAGGGTCGACGACAGGAGACGGTTCCGTCTATTTGGGGCTGACGTGGATGAGTGGGCTACCACCGCTTCGCCTGGTGGTAGCCTGTACAAGGGTCAGATCCCGAAAAAGTTTCAAACAGGGGCCACATCTCGCTTATTCTTGCCAAAAGGGTCAAAACACAAAATTTTGCCTCCTGGGGTCTGCCCCTTTTTGAACGAAAAGATTCAGGTGGGGGAAGTTCTCTCTCCCCCCGGTGAAAATTCTGAAAAAGAAGTGTTTACTGCAGGCCAATAGACTGGCTGGTTAAATATTCATGCTTTCCCCGTGCCCTCTGATTCTGACATCTACTTGGTTCTTCTCTCGTCAGTTTGTTTTCGTGTCTGCTCACATCTGTTCATGAATTAACAGGTGAAACAAATGGAGAAGTAAATTCAAACTGTGTGGATGAATTACTGAAACTTTCTATTTTATCATGCAGATGTAGGCTTACATATATGGGGAAAGCATTACTCGCACAAGTGAAGGTTGGTGGAGAA